ATGTTTATTGCAGCATTATTTACCATAGTTAAGATATGGAACCAACCCAGATACCCCTCAGTAGATGAATGGATCAAGAAAATGTGATGTGTGTGTGTGTGTGTAATGGAATTCTATGCCTCCATCAGAAAGAATGACACTGCCCCATTTGTTAGGAAATGGAAAGACTTGGGAAAAAATTATATTGAGTGAAGTAAGCCAGGCCCAAAGAAACATAGGTCCCATGGTTTCCCTTATCTGCAATAACTAGTAGATATCTAGGACAAGCAGAAAAGGTCAAAGGCTATGTACATATGACCATATAAGCTGATGCCAAGCAAAATGAACCCCAAGATAGGGACACAAGAGATTTTATCTTTCTTGCTGTTCTTTTTAATGTACTTATAATGTACTGTGTGATTTTTTTTTGTTTCTTTTGTATGTTCTTACCCCATGGTATAACCCCTGTTGTCACTGTATTTGATCCCAGTGTCCTGCATCTTGTATATACATTTTTCTAATTCGGGGAGGGGAAGGGAAATAACAAAATGCTGAAATAAGGATACAGGATGACCCATTGTAACAATGCGATGTACAAGGTACTATGTTGGAAAATGAACTTTATAACTTTGGGGAGCAGGAAGTAGGGAGGGAAGGAATGATAAGGGAAAACCAAAGGAGGAGGTAACAATGCTCGATAGGAAATGGCCTCATTACCCTGCTCATGTACTAACCCCTCTGTACAGTATCTTTATAATAAAAATAAAAAAACAGAAATAAGAGATTAGAAAGTAGCTTCCAGGAGCTAGGAAGTGGGGCGGGCAATGGAGAGACATTAGTTCAAAGGAGACATAGTTTCAGCTGTAAAATGAGTAAGTCCTATGGATCAAATGTATAGCAAGTGGCTATAATTACTAATGCTGCATGCATACTTGTGCCAAGACAGTAAATCTTAAACCTTTTCACTGGGAGGAAGGGAGGGAGGGAAAGAGTAACAGGGAACAATGCCAAGTTGTTGGGTATGTTAATTCACTCGACTGTGGTAATCACTTTACAATATACACATAGATCAAATCATGACACTATAGACTGTAAAAAAATATGACTTTTATCTGTCAAATACACCTCAATAAAACTGCAAGCAATGAAATAAACAAAATTAACAAACAAAAACTCTTTCCCTGTTTCTCATTTTTTGTCCGTCCTGGGGCTTGAACTCAGGGCCTGTGCACTATCCCTAAGCTTTTTCTGCTCAAGGCGAGCGCTCTACCACTTTGAGCCATAGCGCCACTTCCAGTTTTCTGGCAATTAATTGGAGAAAAGAGCATCACAGACTTCCTGCCCTGGTTAGCTTCAAACGTTGATCCTCAGATCTCAGTCTCTGGAGTAGCTAGGCTGACACCACTGACTGCCCAGAGCCTTTCCCTGCTTTAACAGCCTGGTTTTAAAATTTGTAAATGGGCATATATTATACGTGCATCTTAAATTAAGGAAAATATAAAAGAAAACAACGGGGACTGAATCAAACTCAAAAGTGTCTACACAGCTAAAGAGACAATAAAATCAAGTAGTAGCCTAGGTATTATAGAAAATATTTATAAACCATATAACCATAAACAATTGACAACCAAAATATAGAAGAAACTCATACAATTCAACAGCAAAAAATTAAAATTAAAATGTGGGCAAAGGACCTGAAGAGACAAGATATAAAAACCGTGATTAAGAACATGACAACGAGGCTGGGAAGGTGGCTCAGTGGTAGATGCTTGCCTCACTTGCATGAGGCCCTGAGTTCGATTCCTCAGCACCACATAAGCAGAAAAAGCCAGAAGTGGCACTGTGGCTCAAGTGCTAGCCTTGAGCTGAAGAGCTGAGGGACAGCGCCCAGGCCCAGAGTTCAGGCCCCACAACTGACAAAAAAAAAATAAAGAAAGAAATAAAATAAAGAACATGACAAGGCACCCACCATCACTAATCATCAGAGAAATACAAGTCAAATTGTAACAAACCATCCTCTCACACCTGTTAGGAGAGATTTTATCAGAGACTGAATTACAAGGTGTTCTCAAAGATGTGGAGAAAAGAGACACTTTGTGGACTGTTGATATATAAACTAGTACAACCAATATGCAAACAAAGAAACCAACATGAAGGCTCCTCAGAAAATCAAAACCATGGGGCTGGGAAGGTGGCTCAGTGGTAGAGCGCTTGCCTTGCATGCATGAGGCCCTGGGTTCGATTCCTCAGCACCACATAAGCGGAAAAAAAAAAGTCGGAAGTGGCACTGTGGCTCAAGTGGTAGAGTGCTAGCCTTGAGCTGAAGAGCTGAGGGACAGCGCCCAGGCTGAGTTCAGGCCCCACAACCGGACCCCCCCCACCAAAAAAAAATCAAAACCAGAACTACCACCTCAGAACTGGGCACTGTCCCTCAGAACTACCACTAGGGAGTAGATATACCCAACAGAAATGAAATCTACATCTTGTAGAGATATCTTACTCTCAAATTCGCTAACAAAAGTTTAATTTGGGAAAATATTCTGCTAATAATTGAAGATATGACTCAATCTTATAGTTCTAAAACCCTTCAAGACTGATCTGCCTGCAATTACTGAAGAAGTGCTGGTAGTCAGAAAGCCAGTTTTCCTGTAGCGCTTGGTAGAAAAGGAGCCTGTGAAGAATTTATACCAGAAAGCTAAAGCAAAGACAATATAGTCTATGGTGAATACATTGGGATTGCGGTGCTAAATGGCAGGGCAGGGTTCTGGGACTGTAGAAAGTACAGGGTGACAGACTGAGTTCTTTGCTGGAACATAAGCAAAGATACAGAAGAGATTCTCTAGGATAAAGGTTTAAGTAATGAGTGTTATCAACCAGTTTGAAGATAGATAGGTAGATAGATACACACACACATATAATTTAAGCCAACAATTGAAAATAAAGATTTTCAAGATAGTCCAAGAATAAACAGACAAGACACCGCACAGTTAGCTAGAAAGGGAAAGGGAGGTGCTTTTCCCAGGCCATATGGCCCTGTGGGCCCTCCTTCCTCACAGGTACCCTCTAGGCTCTACTACCACCCTGCTGTGACTCTGCTGCCCCCGTGTGGCCATGGCAAGTCTTAGCAGCAGAGCTTCTAGTCAAAAATCAAGCCTGGACCCAAACTAGATTATTTTTAATGATTCCTCTGCTCCTTTATCCCAACTCATGGCCAAGACTTTTCCTACTTATAAACATAGGGCTTCCACAGCTGTAAGGGTCAGGGTAGCTTTTAGGGACTCCTATCTGCACAGGATTCCACAGGTTCTCTGGAGCAGGGTCCAGAGAATAAGAAAAGCCTCAGGAAACCTGTCCACAATGCAGTCAAGAGAGACAGAGCAGAGATGGCATCTCTGGAGACTGATGTCCAAAGGTGAGCAGTGAAACCAGAACCCACACTGGCCTCGGAAACCACCAGGGGATCCAATATTCCCATCCATGGGAGCTCAACTTCATTGTACCTTAGCCTGCTGTTTGAGCAGTAAACCGTAGAGATTCAGGAAGTGGATGCCAACTGCACGGTCACCTCTCACAACATGCAAAGGGATTTAGCTAGATCCCCACCCTAACCTCTTCAAAACTGTTATCAGCCAATAATGCTGAGATTTAAATAATAATAAACATAAACATAATAAAATGATATAATAATCATAATAAATATTATTTTGTCCATTGTGGGGCTTGAACTTGGGGCCTGGGACTTGAGCAATTTGGCTCAAGGCGAGCGCTCTACCACTTGGAACCACAGCGCTACTTCTGGTTTTCTGGTGGTTAATTGGAGATTAAGAGTCTCACACACTTTCCTTGCTCAGGCTGGCTTTGAACCACCATCCTCAGATCTCAGCCTCCTGAGTAGCTAGGATTACAGGGGTGAGCCACCTGTGCCCGGCCCTAAAATTATTAATCAGTATTTTCCTACCTCCACCCAAATCTGTTTTTTGCTACTTGATTTGTCAGACCTGTAACAATAAGGGTGACAGGATTCTTGGATTAACAAATAGTTCCATTTTTTGGAGTGCTCTACGTGCATAATGACACATTCTATGGCTCTGAGTTACACCTGCATATGCTTCTCCTGTGTGGGGATGTCTGAGAGTAAAGAGCTCTAGCTCCTGTCCGGTGACCCTGGGTGAGTCATGGCCAGGCTCAGAGTCTCTGCTGTCTCTTTCATCATGGGAATAAAATAACAGCCCCATCTCACAGGGCTAAGTGAGTTCATGATGTCTGCTCAGCGGCTGCCACAGAGCCTGGCACAAGTGCTCAAAGAACCCTGAACTCAGTCCAGCAGTTTCTCCAGATTGGTTTGAAATGCAATTCCTTAATTCAGTAAACACACACACACACACACACTCACACACACACACACACACACACACACACACACACAAGTTCTGAAACCTGATTTGCTGCTCTCTTTTCAACTAACAAAGGGTCTGTGGCTAAAATTAAGTGACACTGAAGTGGGCGATGCCCCCTTGCTCAGCCCTGAGTTGAGTGCCATTTTCAGAAGAGTCTGACTCACAGACCTTACTCTGTTCCCAGACTCTCCTGAACTCTCTCATTGCTCACTCTTTGGGAGCCCTCCCTTCTCCCCCTCCCTCCCTGCTTATATGGCAGGGAGCCTCCTCTACCTTTTATTAAGCTCCTTATAAGAATTATTGTCATGCTTCCCCATCAATTCTGTATTATTTTTTAGGATAAAAGTAAATAGCATGTGTGTTTTACCCAGTGTGTTCACGTGAGAGTAGGTTTACTGTGTGTGTATGCACACATACATGTGTGCACGCGTGTGCATGGGGTGGCCCAAGGAGCAGGAACGGGTAGGTGCAGCACAGCCATCCTGAGCCGCACAGCCATCCTGAGCCGAGAGACACAGTCACACCTTTAGTGCGGCCCCTCCCATTTTCCTTCCCTCTTCCCTTCCCCACCCTCACCCCCGCCCCCCCAGCAGGCTCCTTGGCTGTCAGCACAGGGCCACTCACCGGTTGGTGTTCTCCAGAACCTCCACCTTCTTCCGAAGCTCCAGGTTCTCAGTGGAACAGGACTCCACCCTATAAAGGAGCAAGGAGATCAATGATCTACCATACAGCCAGCAGGGAGGATCGGAAAGGAAGGGAGAGGACAGAGACAGGCCCGTCCAACGGAATTGGAAAGGGGTGAAAAGACTAAAGAAGACAATGGGGAGGTAGCCAGACCTCAGTAAGGGGAGGTAACTGGGGGTGATCAGACACGTGGAACTCTTTCAGGGTGTCATCGCCTGTTGCTTCTCAGTTTTTCCCCATTGTCCTCATTCTCCTCCTCTGCTTTACGGGCATCTGGAGCTATGGGCTGTGCTCCCAGGCCAGCCATGGCTTACAAAGCCACAAGTGTAGGTTGGGGACAACAGGGAACCAGAACAAAGAAGGGGGATCTGCAGCTCACGTACCCAACAGAGGCAGAAAGTTTCTCAGAGAAATACTGGGCCCTGATTGCCTTTATAAGTGACGGGACAGAATGGGGCTATGTTCATGCCAAATAGTCAATACTTCTAGAATCAATTGGAATCCACCAACTGCTCCTTTCCATGGGTACACAGAATGACTCATTTCTGGGTCTGAGGCTTCTTTCTCATTTGAAATTGTATAAACTCGTCTGCTAGAGAAATTTTTTTTTCTTCTCAGGCTAATAAAAATTGTATTGAATTCATCTTTTTTCAAACAAGCCTCCTGGTGGTCCGGGCTTTTCAGAAAATCAAAGCGTGCCTTCAAGTGTTCTTTTTGCAGAAAGTCACTGTCCTGCAGCATGAATTACAGTGGTCAGAAATGATCAAGCATGAAGCACTGACGCCAGGCTCCTGACCCGGCTACACAGCACGGCTCTCTTGGACTCAGCAGAAGCAGCATGCCTCCTCTGCGACGTTTCGGGAATGTCAATATTTGTACTTGCTTGAAAGAAAGCCTCCAAGGACTGCAAGGGGTGGTCCTGGGCTGATCCTGTGGTTCTAATGTCTAAGACATCAGTTTTCCTTCTTTCTAGTATTCTAACCACCCCAAATGACCACTAGGTGGCAGGCAAAGCACAGTGGATCCAATGCAGGCTTTCAAGGGACTCAAGAAGCAGGGGGAACTCTTTTCCTCCCACAGACCCAGTACCTACATCCCAATCAGCCCAGCCCGGGGTTAGAAGGCTTACTTTTTCTCTAAGCTGTCCATGTATTCTTTCTTCTTTCTTCGACTCTCCTGCGCAGAAATCTGAGAAACAAGGAAGAGAACTGGATGAATTGCCAACGCAGTACGCAAACCAGTTTTGTGTGGATGGAAGACAGGAGGCAGTTAACATAGAAATCAGCAAGGCCTGCTCAATTCTGTGCCCACTTCTGGCTTGTTTAACTTGTCAGCTCAATCAGGAATCACTATCAGGCTCCATCAGCTCTGGCCTTGGAAAAAGGCACTGTCCAGAAGCTCAAACAAACTTGTAGGTCCCAAACCAGATAGATGACCTCTGAAAGGTGAGGGCTTTCTAGGTGGAAGAGCGCTCCATCTAGATCAAATAAAGCCAACTGGGCACAGACAGGCACATGTGCTAGTTCTGCACATGGATGAAGAGTAGTATTCCCTTTACTCTTGCCTTTTGCTGCCTTTGCCTCTTCCTTCCTGCTTTCTTGTGCATTGGTCCCGTCAGTCAGTCCTGCTCAATCCTGCAAGGCTGAGGACTAAGCAATGGCTGAGCCCGGAGAAGAGATCAGATGACAAGAGATTTTTTTCCATTATGAAACAGAGGGGGGGGGGAAGGGAAAGGGAGAGACAGAGAGAGGGGGAGAGAGAGAGAGAGAGAAAGAGACAGACAGACAGAGAAAGAGAGAGAAAGAAGGAAGGAAGGAAGGAAGGAAGGGAGGAAGGAAGAAAGGGAGGGAGGGAGGGAGGGAGGGAGAGAGGGAGGGAGGGAGGGAAGAAAGAAAGAAGAAAGAGAGAAAGAATAAGAGAAAAGAGAAAGGAAGGAAACAAGGAAGAAAAGAAAAAAAGGAAGGAAGGAAGGAAGGCAGGAAGGCAGGAAGGAAAAGAAAAGAATCTGGCTAGGAGCTGGTAGCTCCCAGGCGATTACAGTTCAAAGCTAGCCCTGGCAGAAAAGTCCATGAAACTCTAGTTCCAAAATAATCAACAAAAGGCAGGGTTTAAGGTGTGGCTCAAGTGGTAGAGCACTAGCTAAACAAGCAAGATACACAAGCATGCATGAGGCCCTGAGTTCTAAACCTCAGTGCCACTTCCTCACAAAAAAAAAAAAAAAATCCAGCTAGGAAGATAAGCAGAAGAGCACAACAGCTAGGTACATATGACCATATAAGATGATGCTAAGCAAAATGAACTCCAAGACATGGACACAAGGGGTTTCTCGTTGTTGTTGTTGTTAATGTACTATGTGATTTGTTTCTTTCGTATGTTCTTCCCCCTAGGGTGTATCCCCTGTTGTCACTGTATTTGATGTTGGTGCCCTGGTATTGTATATACGTTTATTTGAATTAGGAAAGGGAAGGGGAACAACAAAATGGTGAGACAAAGGACGAGGAGGAAACCACTGCAACAGCGATACTCACAAGACACTATGTTGCAAATGATCTGTACAACTTGAGGGGAGGGGGAGGGGCAGTAGGAGAAAAACGAAGGAAAGGGTAACAAGTTTGGTAAGAAATGTACTTATTACCTTTCTTATGTAACTGTAACCCCTCTGTACATCACCTTGACAATAAAAAAAATTATTTAAAAAAAAATTTGGCTTGGAATGAGCCTTGGCTGCCTAGCTAGCATGAGTTCAAAACCCCAGCACTATTACCACCAAAAAAAGGCAAATAAGCACCACTAATACATATATACATTCATAAATTATATATATGTTATATCCATCATAAATGTGAAACTTAGAGGGCTGAGACTTTGAAAAATGAGTATAAATGGAAGGCCTACCGTGGAGTGGGTCCTTGGGTAGCTAGGGGTATGTACGCTACTTTGGGAGTCCAAGACTCCAAGGGATGGAAGGAGCTGGAGGAAGACAAGGTGGGTGAGCTGGTCTAGGTCTTCGTGGTGGACAGAGCTGTGTCCGCCAGCGCTGGCTCTTGGGTGGGAGGAAGAGCGGGAGGACTGGCTCCTTCCCACTGTCTCACAGAAGTGCCTCGCTGTGAACGGCTTACCTTGTTCTTGATTTTCCTCCGGATCTTCTTCAGGGCCTTCTCCTCGGACTTGGTGAGGGGCAGTTTGGTGGGGATGGGATAGCCCTCCGCAATCAGGGTCCTCTTCTCCTCCTCGGTCAGGACCAGTGGGCCAGATCCCTGCAGTTTCTGGGTAGACCACAGGGCAGAGCAAGGTCACAGGGATGAACCCGGTGCGCTCAAGAACTTCCATAGGAGAGTGGCAAGAACCTGTCCCAGCGGCCGGCTAACAACGCAGGGATGGGCATTCCCTGCTCTCCAGGTGAGACATGGGGCCTGTGAAATGCAGGGATTCAGAGAAGCCTCACTTCTTACCTTGGGCTTCTTAATCCAAGAATGCTAGTGCAGCAGGAAGGGTGAAGAGGCCCCCATTCTGCTATCTCTCTCATTTCTAAAGTAAAACCATGAGCCAGCACTGGTTCTGCATGCCTGTCATTCTAGCTAGTCAGGAGGCTAGAATCTAAGGATCTCGCTTCAAACCCAGCCTGAGCAGACATATCGACAGGACTTTTATCTCCAATTAACCAAGAAAAAAAAAGCCAGAAGTGGAGCAATAGCTCAAGTGGCAGAGTGCTAGCCTTGAGTGAAAAAGACCAGGGACAGCGCCCAGGCCCTGACTTCAAGTCCCAGTACCCACACCGTAAAAAAGAAAAAACAAAAGTAAAAATACAGACTCCATATCCCCATCCCTGGAGACTTCGTAGCCTAGGAGCAATGGAAGATCCAGCTGGAGCTTTGTATTGTACAAAAGCTTTGATGTTCTACTTCTATCCATACCAGGATTGCTCCACACCCCCTCTTCTAGCTAAAAGGCTCGATGGCCCAGAGAAACACCTGCAGACCACTTCCACGGCAGTCCTGGGCTGACCATCAGCAATGAGGGTGAGAATTGGAACTCATCTCATTTAGCCCAGGATGGAATGACCCACGTATATCCACACAACTGCATCCTCTACCAGACTCAGTGAAGGCTGCAAACAAGAAGGAAGACTGCAAACGAACTCCGCCTCTCAAGTGGCGTCTGATCCAGACCCTGAGCTGAACTGATACCCAAGAAAGGATGAGAGATGGTAAACTATACTATCCTAAACGTGCTTTAAAACAGGAGGTATGCATTTGTGGGCTGTGGGAAGGCTTAGAGTAGGTGATAAGACTTAGATTCAGGCATTCTGACAGAAAAGGCAATGGTTTGCTTCCAAGAAAACAGCACCACTGCATTCTGAGAAGTAATAGATGCCTCTTCCAACAGTCATAAAGAAGCTCTTGACACAGTGTGGGTGTTGATATTGAGTGGAGATGTTAGGGCTGAAAGCCTACACAGGTAGGTAGACATAGGAAAACATACATGGGTATGACATGAGACAGATTTCCTCCATAAATACATAGTATGGAATGGTCCATGAAGGCATACAGATGTATATGATATAAGCTATTTGGGCAGTTTAGGGAGCAAAAGGTTAGGTGAGAATGTTGAAAGGGTTGACATTGATCAAGACATATTGTCTTCATAAACTGCTTTGTTAAGTGGCCAACTCCTTTGTACAACTACTTAATGATAAAAAAATTAAAAATAAAATACTATTTTATTCACTCCACCTCCCCCCACACACAAAAAAAAAATTGGCTAGGTTCATGTCAGGTGCTGGTAATCCACTCCTCGAATCCTAGCTACTCAGGAGGCTGAGATGTGAGGGCAGACAAATCTGTGAGACTCATCTCCATGTAACACTGGAGGTGGAAATATGGCTCAAGTGGTAGAATGCTCGCTTTGATTGAAGAACCCAAGCGACAGCGTGAGGCCTTGAGTTCAAGTCCCAGTACCAGCACTAGAAATAGTCACCCCACACTTAAAAAAATTAAGTTGCCAGGTGCCAGTGGCTTACACCTTAATCCTAGCTACTCAGGAGGCTGAGATCTGAGGGCCTTGGTTCAAAGCCCCCCCCCAACAGGAAAGTCCATGGGACTCTTACCTCCAATTAACTACCAGAAAACCAGAAGTGGTGCTGTGGCTTAAGTGGTAGAGTGCTCACTTTGAGCCCAAGAGCTCAGGGACAGCGCCCAGGCCCAAGATCAAGCTCCATGAATGACCAAAAAAAAAAAACCCCACAAAACCCAAATTTAAGTTATGTATTTAAATTATGTGTTTGAGCTTTAGGCACCAAAGAACTTAATCCCAGAGAGATGTGTACATTCTTCAAGGTTGTTTATCTGAAATATGAAAGACATTTCCTATGACATATCTTAAGAACTCAATATGTATGGTATAATTCTGCAGAGAAAAGAACACAATTTGATCCCTCATGCTTGTAGCTTTGGAACATGGAACTACAAGTCAAGACTGGAAGTGAGCGGAAGAAAAGGAAGAGAATTTGGGGGCCAGGTTGAGATTTGTGGGCAGCAGTTTAATAACGTTGAGGGTTGTTGGCGCTCGATGGTTTGAACACAGCTCCTGTTGAGGCTCAATGGGGCTGTGCTGAGAGGGGAGATGGAGAGGAGGGGGATGGGTGCCTTTCTCATGGGAGGAAGGTAGGTCTCGCAGGGCTGGAGTGGACCGTTACAGAGGGGGAGTCACCGACCCCTCATCTCTCCTGCTTATATCTTCCTGTGCCTCTGCCCGCATCCTTCTGCTTCTCCACCAAGCACGGAGCAGTAGGTGACCCTCGCCACAAGGCCGAGAAGATGCTCTCACACTTTCTCATGCACAAACCTCCAAGCCCAAATAAACCTCTTTTCTTGTTTTTAAATAACTGATCCCATCTTGGTTATTTTATGACAGCCCTACAAAACAGAAAACACTTCCATATAAGCGAAACGTTTACCAGAAACTTCCTAGAAGGGTAGATGCCACACTGAGAGGGTTCCAGTCTCTTTGCAAAGGCTCAGCGGATACTCACGTGGGGCGCTGTGAGGAGGGGAGAGGTGGACAGGGCGGATGGGGCGCGGGGCACGGCTCTGGCAGGACTGTGGGTCTGAGGCAGGCCAAAGGGGTGCAGGCGTGGGTTGGGGCTCAGGCTGCCCTCGGAGTCGCTGCTGTGACTGCTGGGAGGAGTTGGTGGCAGGTGCAGCTGGTCCACGGAGGCTGAGGAAAAGAGCGTCATTTCACCCCCCTGTAGCGTGGCGTGGCAGGACTTGGGGCGCTGGTTAAACACCTGTGTTGGCTCCCCGAGCTGACCTAGTCGGGGACGGGGTGAAGCCACTATGCACGGGATGAGAACTGCATTCCCGTTCTGCAGAAAGAGACACGGGGAACAAACCCAAGGCGCTAGGAAGGGGATGATACCCAGCTGACAGGGAGAAATTTGGGGGTGATGTGACCACGGTTGGCAAGATTTATTCACTGTGGATTTTTTTTGATAGTCTGACTTGTAACTCATGCTAATGGAGTATGCATTTAAAAGAAAATCTTTGAGGAAAAACAGCAAACCTTGGAGCCCCTGTGGAGTCCTTGGAGAAAAGCTCCTTCGTTGAGGGGAGCAGGCCTGGCCTGGAGCCTGCTCACCCCCAAAGCCTTTCCTGGGGGGGAGGGGCACTGCTATACTCTGCCAGGACGGATGACACCTTGTGGGTGTCAGGGAGACACCTGCAAGGCAGAAGGGCTAGGCTTTGATGGAAGAACCCCGTGTGGCTCCTACCTGGACAAAGGCACTCTCAGGGCCCCCTCTCTCTTTTTCTGAACAGTGGCTGAAGAGGTCCATTGTGCCCAGGCCTCATTACTGAACCAAGGGAGATAGAGCTCTGGGAGAGGAGCGCTCTGGCAGGCCGGGTGCCTGCTGGCCTTACAGACAGCTGGGCTAGCTCAGTGGGAGGTGTCTCACCCCACGCCCTGCCTTTCTCCAAGTGGAGGCTTCTCAGGGCTCTACTGATGGGAAGAAACATTTCTAATCCAACGACTGACCTAAGAAAAATGACCACACCCACCACTGCCCATGTTGATGACAAACAGGCAGGCAGCCAAGGGTCTGACAGAAAGACCTATCAGCGGTCACAAGAGGGGGTGTCTCTCTTAGCCACCCCCTTCCCAGGTCCTCAGCAGGCCTCTGCCTTACACCCTTCTCTTTTTTTAATACCTTCCTCCCCCACCCCCACTCCAGCTGCTTTTTCTTTTCCTTTTCCTCAGAAGAGTTCCCTGCGCATCTTAGTATCTATAGGAATTCTTCAAGCCAAAGAATATTCTAAAGTAAACCCATTTTCTCAATTCCTAACATTTGAACTAGCAGCTGTGCTTTAACTATACATGTGGTTTGCTAGAAAGCAGGTATTCTATGAGTTTTCCTCATAGCCATGAATGCATAGTAATTGATGATCAGGAAGAACAAAAATACAGAAAGTAGCCTAGCCAATCAGGAGCTTCATACCATACAGTACACGTACTTTCCTAATAACTAGTAAGAATTTCAAGACTACCAAGAGCTCACTTGGCCAAAGCCCAAGTTATTCGGATACTTTGCTCTTTCCCAAGCAGGGGGAACTCCACAAAAGAAAGAAATGAAAATGACAGGAAAAGCCAGAGACACAAACTTGAACCTTCTCCATGCATGGAGAGCAGCCCATCCAGAAACTAGTGCTTCAGGATCTGATTTCTAAACATCGTGTGAAATGACACTCTTGGGTTACTTGAAGTACTGAGGATGGTCTACAAACTCTCCTGCATTCAAGGATATTGAATGTCCTTATCTCTCTTTGTCCAGGGTAATGAGGAAAGACTGCTCTCTTCTTGATTCTTGAAACAGCCCTCCTCCATTGACTCTAGATTCTAAACCCATCATCGGGTTATCCTACTGTCTGAATCATAACACAACATGAACTTAAAAAGAACAAGATGCAGTTGATAGTGATAACCGATGCCATAGAAAAAGGGAATTACTTTTAAGCAGAATCTAAAGTTAGAAGGCATTCATGTTTATTGTTCAACACCAAGGAATAATGCCTCAATGTTGATATTCGTCGATATTGTGAATTTTAAAATGTCTACCCTTCCTATTCAGATCAGTGGAGGTAAATAAAGGGCCAACACTGATTAAATCCCCACCAATCAAATCTGGAGTTATTTCTGAGGGAACAGAGATAAGATTATAGTTCCATGAGCCCTGCTTATAAACAATGGGTGCACATTAATACACCTTTCTAGTAATTTCTACTTTGTTGACCACACGATGAACCTGTATTGAAGATATCAAGGGAGAGGGAGGTCATGTGATGAACTCGGGCACAGAGGTGGGGCATTTGGTATCCCAGCAGAAGCATGTGGATAATCGAGACACAGAAAGCATCCCCAGACCCTCTGAGACCCAGGGGTCTGCATCCAGAATCCCAACAACAGGATTCACAGGAGAGGAAAGAGGGAGATGGTCTCTACTGATGGGTAGAATAATGGATGTCAGGAAAAAGCTTAAAGATACACATAATCTGAGGCCAGAAGCATCGCTATGTAGGAAGGGGATCTGTGTGCTGTCATCCAAAGTCAACATTTAAAACCTCACATAGAAGCTGGGTACCAGTGGCTCATGCCTGTAATCCTAATTACTCAGGGGGCTGAGATCTGAGGATTGCAGTTCAATGCCAGTCTGGGCAGGAAAGTACAAGAGATTCTTATTTCCAAGAAACCAGCACAAAGGGAGAAGTGGAGGTGTGGTTTACATGGTAGAGCATCAACTCTGAGTAAAAATTCTAAAGGACAGAGGACCCAGGCCCCGAGTTTAAGCTCCAGTATCAGTACAAAAAAAAACAACAAAACCAAAACCAAAAAACAAAAAAACAAAAAGCTTAGCAAACAGATTATACATCCAATTTACAAAGGATGGAAACTTGAGTTATTTTGATGAAGCCAGTGCTGCTAGGGACCAGAAGCTATTGCAGATTCTCCTTCTAGCTATGATTCAAAGCACAGTAACACTTAACTGGAAATTAAGCTAGACGGGGACTAATATTTCACTTTCAAAATATTTTCTTGGGATGAAAGTTTTAAAGAGCTGAGCAGCTCTGGACACTGACACCCACAGTGCCAAGGAGCCCAGCATTCTTACCTAAGTTCTGCTTCTCTTCAGACAGACCACGTGGGATAGAAAAAGAAAGGCCATACCTTCTTTAGGAGAGAAGTTAAGGAACTGATCCACTTCGTGAGGCTCCAGCTTAATCTTAGGGATGATTGTCTGGCATGAGGAATCAACCTGCAGGAAGAATTTCAAACATCATTCTTAAAAACAAACACCAACCTTAAAGAAACAGAGGCAAGCTCTTTACTATTTGCTTCCTCTCAGACCAGACTTGACTCTGCAAGCACTGCTTTTTTGGTTTTTTTTTTTTAACTGTATTTTTTTGTCTTTTCTTTTTTGGTACTGGGGATCGAACCCAGGACGTTGCACTTGCTAGGCAAGCGCTTTGCCACTGAGCTACATCCCAGCCCCAAGCACTGCTTTTTTGACTGGGGTTATTCTAGTTCTTATTTTTCTTCTATCTTCCAAGCCTGACATTTCAGCTGATGGAGCCCTCAAGATATCATCATAAGAAAGCTCAAGGCTGCCAAGTTCCATTGAGTCACGCCTGTAATCCTAGCTACTCAGGAGGCTGAAATCTGAGGATGGATGTTCAAAGCCAGTCAGGGCAGACAAATCCAACTCTTATCTCTGATGAATCAGCAGAAAGGTAGAAGTGAAAGTATGGCTCAAGTGAGTGGAAAGAGTGGAGCAAGATGTGAGGCCCTGAGTTCAAGTTGCAGTACAACACTAAACTAATGAGTTAATTAAAAGCTCAAGCTCACTTATCACTGCTTTCCTCTACTGGTTTTGTGGGAGTCCAATGACAAAAATACTCTGGCACAATGTTAAAGGGTCACAGACCTCCAGTCTGTCTTGCACTACAGTACTGTGTTCTGATTAAGCCACACCCTTTTCTCCTAGCAACCAATGACATCCAACCATGAGATATCCCACAGGGAAAGAGCAGTGACGGACACACAGGGCACTATGCTTAAGCTATGTTACCTACACTGCTGCTTAAAGTTTTCTGGTCTAAGGAGACTAATACACTAAAGAGAGCCAGGGATCTACCAAGAAAAGGTACCAGAGGCCGCTTTGGGGTTCTCCGTCCATCACCCTGCATTTACTTAAAGAGGAGCGGAGGATACAGGAGGCTGTGGCTGTACAGAGGCCCAGAACAGACAGATGCTACATCTAGCTCACAGGGCATGGGACATGATGACTCTTACTACAGTCACTGTTTAGAACCTGAGGCTCTGAGCTTAGAGGAAAGCTAGGACCAGAAGATATACAAGCATGATTCTGTTCCAAGTTCACACACAGGAAATACTCGGAGAAAACGCCTACTTGCTGTAGGCCATGATGTTGGCCAAGAAAGAGATTCCTGAGTTCTCATACTTTTTCAGAGACGACACAAAATGAACCCACAGGAAGGAAAATGCCTTAATTTGCTAAGGGCAACTCAGCACCGCACACGAAAAGCAAAACAGGACATAGAAACTAGCACCCCCTAGTGGTACTCTAAGGTAGGGATTCAGCCATTATCTATTGTGGGCAGTACTGAAATTTGAACTCTTGGACCTTACACTTGCAAGAAAAGTCCTCTGCCACTTGAGTAACACCTCTAGTCCTTTTGTCTTTACCTAAAAGTCATCCCACCTGAACCTCCCAAATAACTGGGATTTATAGGCATGTGCTATCACTCAGCTTGTTTGTGGAGATTGGCTCTATGCTAACTTTTTCACCCAGGCTAGACTGCAATCCTCCTGATTTCTGAGTAGCTGGGACTGCAAACAATAGACCACCATGTCAGGCCCATCCTCAACCATTATCTTAACTATTCCTCACTCACTAGCTCAAAAAAAAATACCATGAGGAATCTGTTTTCTTTCATCATAAATATTCATCTGGATGAATTTTTCATTTTGTAGTATCAACCAAAGAAAAATGAAATTAGCCTTGTTACTAATTTTCCTGGACAAAGCCTTTGTATTTTTTTTTTGATTGTGAAAATACCGTACAGAGGGGTTACAATTACATGGGCAAGATAATGAGTACATTTCTTACCAAGCATTGTTGCCTCCTCCTTCCCATCTCTTCCCATCTCCCACCCACAAGCCTTTGTATTTTGTGGACAATGTCATATAACTAATACCAACACCAGTCAATGTATTTTTTTTTTTTTGGTTGATCGTGGGGCTTGAACTCTGGGCCTGGGTGTCCCTCAGCTCTTCAGCTCAAGGTGAGCACTCTACCACTTGAGCTACAGTGCCACTTCCAGTTTTCTAGTGGTTTTATTGGAGATAAGTGTTTCACAGATGTTCCTGCATGGGCTGGCTTTGAACCGAGATCCTCAGATCTCAGCTTCCCGAGTAGCTAGGATTACAGGCGTGAGCCACTGGCGCCCGGCAATCTATTCTTGATATTTTCATGCATACCTTGAATATTTAAAACCCAGAGAATAAATGCCTTGAGAGTAGAAATCTGTATCTTCTGATCCAACCTGTTTATATGGGGGGTGGGGTGGGGGGAATACAGCATACCCCAGTATTGATTTCCAGATGGGGTTCTTCCTTCTCAAAAGGGGCGGAGATGGCTGTGATGGTTAGAGTGACCGAGGGAACCAGGCCTGGGGGCTGCTCCTCCGTAATCGGCTCAGTCTTGATGGTGGCTGAAGGGAAGTCAGTGGACAGAAACCATTTCTCACTTTCCACCTCCTCTGTGGAAGAAAAATAAGAGGCGTGTGCATGAGAACTTGTTCAGGTATTTGATATAACCAAAACGGATGACTACTGACCCACCTCCTCGAACAAAGCTCCAAGGAAGGACTGCCAAGAGGCAAAGAAAAATAGACAAAAGGAATATTCAGGAGGGAAGAGAAACAAAGAAATGAATGGTAGCCAGGGACCAGTGCCTCAGGCCTGTAATCCTAGTTACTCAGGAGACTGAGATATGAGGATTGTGGTTCAAAGCCAGCCCAGGGGAGAAAAGTCAGTGAGATCTGAATATCTAATTAGGAAGCAGAAGTGTGGCTCAATCAATAAAGCACTCATCTTGGGCAAAAACGCCAAGTAAGAATGTGGAGTCCTGAGTTCAAGCCCCAGTACTAGAACAAAAACAAGTAGGCAAACAAGAAGTCGAAGTCTGCTTGCATATGCTTGCATGCTATATGGCTGAAGAAACCGTGGAAGGATGACAGAGTGGAGAGACCTTGCTTCATGGGCAGGGCGGGAAAGAGGCCAGGTAGGTGAGGGATGGAACCATGGGAAATTGTTTGATGTGTAGTTAAGTTATGCATTTGGAGTTTTCAAACCAAGTCGCCGTGCTATCTACTCAAAATAAATATACACAAGAAAAAAACAAGAGGCAAAATGGTTACCAAGCAAGGTCTCCACACAGAGGATTCCCCATGTCCCAAGCATACAATTTTTTTTTAATTTTAATTTTAATTTTTTGTGAACATACTTTACAGAGGGGTTACAATTACATGGGCAAGACAATGAGTACATTTCTTATCAAGCATTGCAGCCTCCTCCTTTGTTTACCCTTCACATCCCTTCCCAGCCTCCCCCCCCCCCCCCCCCCCCCCGTCATCCCCTCCCACCCAAGTTGTAAAGTTCGTTTTGGACATGACAACTTGTACTTCTCATAGTTGCATCGGGTCCACCTGTATCCTTAAACGACTTGTTTTCCCCCATCTCCTCCACAAATTATACCGACATCAAATATAGTGAAAGCAGGGGTTATACTGTGGGGGAGGGACATACAAAGCTACAAAGAAATTATCTTATAAATGAGTTTGAAACAAATGCATGAAAGAAAAAAACATTTAAATACATATCTAAGGGTTCATTTTCCTAACATCACATTATCTGACCTTTTCTGCTTGACTCATACATATACTAGATATTGCAAATAAGGGAAACCATGGGACCTATGTTTCTTTGGGCTTGGCTTGCTTCACTTAATATAATTTTTTCCAAGTTTTTCCATTTCCTAACAAATGGGGCAATGTCATTCTTTCTGATGGAGGCATAGAATTCCATTGTGTATATATACCACATTTTCTTGATCCATTCATCTACTGAGGGGCATCTGGGTTGGTTCCAGATCTTAGCTATGGTAAATAATGCTGCAATAAACATAGTTGTGCTGGTAGCTTTAGTGTGGTCTTGTTTGTAAACATTTGGGTAAATGCCCAAAAGTGGGATTGCTGGGTCATAGGGGAGCTCTATGTGAAGTCTTCTGAGGAACCTCCATAATGCTTTCCAAAGTGGTTGAACAAGTTTACATTCCCACCAACAATGAAGTAAGGTTCTCTTCTGTCCACATCCCCTCCAGCATCTGTTGTTGTTAGAGTTCTTGATTTTTGCCGTTCTAACTGGGGTGAGGTGATATCTCAATGTTGTTTTGATTTGCATTTCTTTTATGGCTAGGGATGCTGAACATTTTTTCATGTGTCTATTGGCCATCCTTCTTTCTTCTTCAGAGAAGTTTCTCTTCAAGTCTTTAGCCCACTTATTTATTGGGCAGTTGTTTCTTTGAGGATTTGTTGTTGGGGGATTTAATTTTTTGAGTTCCAAGTATATTTTAGATATGAGACCCTTGTCCGTTGTATGGCTAGTGAAGATCTTCTCCCAATCTGTGGGCTTTCTAGGCTTTCTATTGATCTTGCTAGCTATGTCCTTTGCCATGCAGAAGCTCTGCAACTTCATGCAATCCCATTTGTCCAACCTTTCTTTGATTTGTTGTGTTTCCGGGTCTCTATTAAGAAAATTTCGGCCTGAGCCAAGGAGGCCTAGGGTTTCTCCTATTCCATCCTGTAATGTTTTCAGAGTGTCAGCTTTGACTCTGAGGTCTTTGATCCATTTAGAGTTGATTCTGGTGCAGGGTGATATATAAGGATCTAGTTTTAGTTTTCTACAAGTAGTTAACCAATTTTACCAGCACCATTTACTGAAGAGGCTGTCTTTCTTCCATTCTATTATTTTAGCTCCCTTATGGAAGATTAGTTGGCTATAGGTCTGTAGGTTCATTTCTGGGTTTTCAATTCTATTCCATTGGTCCTGAGCTCTGTTCTTATGCCAGTACCAAGCTATTTTGATTACTATGGCTTCACAATTTTTTCTTTTTGTATTCTTCTGCCTTTCCACCCATGTCTTAAACCCACCCAGATTTCCCAACTTTGTTCAGCTGTTTGGAGGACTTCAGAGTGTGAAACAGACATGTATCTTTCGCTGAAATGGACAAAATACTCATCCAGGAAAAGGAGAGGGTCTGGGTGAGTCTCAGTCTCCTCGTGTTGCCAAAGTTTTCCTGATTGTCACTGAGCTGTGGTATAGAGAATGACCGGACAGGGAGATCCGCCACAGCCCCTCTGCTGACTAACACACATTCTTTTAGAAACTTCAACGGCACCAAGTTACTTCAGGGATAGAACTCCAGCCCCACCCCAGAAAAGCAGGCAGAGGACAAGAATGGAAAATCAAGGAGGCTGGAGACAGGGAATAAGGAAAGATGACCACCCCCACCTGAGACCAGTTTTAATGAAATGAGGCATCATAAAATGAAGTATAAAGAAACCCAAGATATGTTCTTATGCTTTTATGGGGAACTTTAAAGATACCCTACCTGCCCAGAGGATCCTCCAGAGAATAAAGCTGTTTATGAAATTCACTCAAGAATCTGACTCCTGGCTCTGTATTAGTGGCTCACACCTGTAATCCTAGCTACTCAGGAGGATGAGATGTGAGGATTGTGGTTAGAAACCAACCCAGGCAGGAAAGTCTATGCTAATCTTATTTCCAGTTAACTACCAGAAAGACAGAACTGGAGCCAGAGCTCAAGTGGGAGAGTGCTAGCCTTGAATATAAAGGTTGAGGGATAGTACCCAGGCCCTGAGTTCAAGCCCCAGGACTAGCATCCATGGGCTGGCTCTCTCTCTCTCTCTCTCTCTCTCTCTCTCTCTCTCTCTCTCTCTCTCTCTCTCTCCTCTGTCTCCTCTGTTTCCTCTCTCCTCTCTCTCTCCTCTCTCTCTGTCCTCTCTCTGTGTCCTCTCTCTCTCTCTCTCTTTCTCTCTCTCTCTCACACACACACACACAATCTGACACCCCTTTCATTCTGTAAAGGTACAATACAGGGAAGGGAGGGAACAGCTACTTAAAGATTAAGTTCACAAAGATTATAATTGCATACAAAAAGCATTCACAACGTGAGACTTTTCCTTTGAGAATGAGATCTGTAAGCTGCTGACTATGTGGTGTGATGGGTGTGGGCAATGTTCCAGCCCAGGGCGGGCAGGGAGAGAACAAGGGGTCTTCTGATGGCGGCCAGAAGAAAGAGACTACACATGCTTGGTGCAGAATTCTCTGGCTAGATAGGCGTCCAATTCAGCTTAGAGAAGCAATCGGGACCAAGGGCCAAAGGCCAACTACTGCTTCTCCAAGAGGCTAAGAACCAGGAGGCTACCCAGAGCCAGGGAGATCCATGCAGAGGAGAGCTTCGGGCAGAGTGGGCAAGAAACAGAGAGGCAGAGAACACAGATGGCACCTTCTTGGCTCTGAAGTAAGGCGTCGATGTCTCTACTTCTTGAAAGGAATACATACAAGTTGCCCAAAATGAGAACTATCTATACCTGGCAGTGGCTGGAAGACAGAGAACAAGATGAAATATGGCCACTGTGAATAATGAAAGGAACAGTAAAGGAACAGCTTTAAGTGTTCCAATTACCAGGAAATCCTGAGATAGATCCCCACATAATAATCAAGATGACTGTGCTCCCACTTAATTCACATATACATGCACACACACACACACACACACACACACACACACACAGCAAAAGTAAATATGAAACACGAATTAAATGATGAAACTGGTGCTCTCAATCTAGTGAAACCATTCTCAAAGCATAGGCATATTCATAACATAAGTCAGGACGGCCTATATTCTTTTCTTTAATTGAAGAGGGACTTGAACTCAGGAACTTACATTCTTGCGTGGCTTGCTTGCTTAGCTGGTGCTCTACCACTAGAGCCAAGCTTGCAGCCCAGCTTTTTCCTGGTTATTTTGGAGAAGGAGTCTCTTGGAATTTTCTGCCCAGAGTGGAACACTCTGAGTCATTATTTACCATCACAAAACAATGGAAATAACCAGAATATTAAACAACAAGAGAAAGGCTAAGTGCATGGCAGTGTAGTCATTCAGTAATACGTTTATATAGACACTACATTTACAAAGCTTCTTTAATAACCAAGGAAAGGTATATACCATCAAGGGAAAAATCTAGGCACAATAATATGCTACTTGTGTAGCAAGTTCAAGAAAAAGGACAAAGAAAACATGCCAAAATCAGTAATACACCAAGAGGAAGATTCAGAACACTCAAGAGTTTTTTTTTAAACCTTATCTGATAACACTTTATAGTACAACTCTTGTCCCTACATAATCACCCATGGATATAGTTTGCTCCTCTCTGCTCTACTTTATGCTTCAGGGTGGCCGTTATTGGCTAGAAACTCCAAGGACTAGACAGGCCTCTTCAGGGTCCCTGGGCTGAGCAAGAGACACCTTAGTATATGCAAATAAGTTGTATATCTGATCAGTTCTCTATCTATGCCTTTTGTCACGTGACTTTTCAGTATCCTCTACTTTACTATGTGACTTCATGTAGGCCAGCATATTCATTTCTTAACACATTGTAGATTCTAGCTTGTTAAG